TCCTAAACCCTAAACCATACCTTAAAACCCCAAGCCCCGAACACAAAATCCTCAAGCCCCCAAGACCCCAAACCCCTAGCCGAAGTGTGCCACGGGGTGTCGCAGCAGGGTGATGTCTAAGGGATATGCCGAGGTGCTTCAGGGTTGGCTCATGCAAATTCCAGCCCTTCGCCTCCCCTGACGTCTTGGCAGAAGTCTCGGCGGATGCTAACAGAGGCGCTTATGAAAAGCCCTAAACCTTAACGCCCACGCCCTAACTCCGAAAGCCCAAAAGCCCGAAACTCTAAACCCTAAAGCCCTAAACCCTAGATCCTAAAGCCCTAAAGTCGAAACTCTATAAGCCCGAAGAGCCTGGTAAGGACAATTGGGTGCACCCCATGGACCTCACGGACGTCTTCGTGCTGTACTGGAAGGACGTTAAGGTTTAGGGTTTGGGGTTTAGGGTTTAGCGTCTGGGCTTTAGGGTTTAGGGTTTGGGTTTAGGGTTTAGGGTTTGGGGTTTAGGGTTTGGGGTTTAGGGCCTAGATGTTATCTGACCCTGAATGACCTACCGTTTTAAGGCCGATTCTTATCATAAGTCCCTAAATCGGTAGGGTTTTTGGGGTCCAAGTAGGGTTTAGGGTTTAGGGCTCAAAGTAGTCCATTTGAAGCCTGCAGGGCGTTTTGGGTCTCGGGCTCAGATTGTCAGGACGGCTTTAGGTCGTGAGGTTGGGGGTTTTCTGGTTTTAGGTTTGGGGTCTTTTTCATCGGGGGGGCTTTCAGACTTTCATTCTCACGCGGGAGCCATTGCGGTTGCTGGTGGGCCCAAACCCGAAACCCCGAAATCCTGGTGGTCGTTCTGGCCACCACAAAGCCCACCCTGGCCTACGACAACAGGCCGATTGTTCAGGACTTTTGGGTTAGGGTTTGGAAAGCTTGTGTGAACCCAAAACCCTGGAGTTCAAAGGAGTGGGAAGCGCCGCTCAGGTAGCCACCACCCAGCCTAAGGCTCGACCTTCTGCGGGCGGGGCCTCTTCTCATCCCTGAAGCCGACAAGGTAGATCCCAAACTGACAAACTGACATCACTCAATCCTGCAATCATCGGCATGCAGGTGCGGGGTTGGGTGCCAGATTCCTGCTCCTGATTTCCTGTTACTTCGTACTTGTGGATGCTCCTTGACCATCAGGCTGGAAGCCGCCCCCAAACCTAGAACCTACGCCCAACATCCTCAAAGCCTGAACCCTATTAACCCTAAACGCTAAACTTCGGCCCTAAACCCTAAACCCTATAAACCCCAAAACCCTAAACCCCGATCCCTGAACCATCCAGATTCAATCCTAGAAGAGCCGGCCCGCAGCTCAAAGACACACGGGTAGTTGTCAAAATTATGGTCCCTTTTGGGGTACCCTAAATAATAGGTGCCGAATGATTATAAGGACCCCAAAAAGGGACCATCATTTTGCCAACCACCCACCCACGGAGATCTGCCAGGAGATTCCTGTTACCATGTCGAAGGAGTTCAGGTCGCTCGGCAGTCGTATTTTTTTAAACACCCTAAATCCTAAACCCTAAACCCTAAACCCTAAACCCTAAACCCTAAACCCTAAACCCTAAACCCTAAACCCTAAACCCTAAACCCTAAACCCTAAACCATTAGGGTTCAGGGTTGAGAGGCGCCGAAGAGGCCTGAGGCAAGGTGGTGGGAAATAATTACTCCTAGGAAAAAGAGTCGGTTTAGGGTTTAGGGTTTAGGGTTTAGGGTTTAGGGTTTAGGGTTTAGGGTTTAGGGTTCCTTGGAACAGGGAAAAATAGGCTTTCGGAGGAATGTGACCCCCCCTCTCCCGGAAGCCTGCAGGGCAGGATTCTCTGGCATTTTTGTTAGTAATCGGAAAATAGCCCACGATAGGAAACTAATCGGAAAAATTGAGGGAATTCCTAGGCGGTGGCAGTAGGGAGCCAATAGGATTTCAATAGGGACAATAGGCCAAAAATAGGCCAGGAATGGGGGTGGGGGGGGGGTCGGGGGCGTCGGGGTGTTTTGCTATTTACTTCCGATTCGTGGAAATCCGAGAAGTAACTGTTCTGCAAGAGTCGCTGCCTGCCCGAAGCTATCACGTCTCAAGTTTCGGGTTGAAACCCCAAACTCGGGGGGTCTGAAGAACTTACTACTGAAGCAGTCTTCGGAAGTTTTCCCCAGTATTTCTCACGTTTCGCCAGTATACTATAAAGTCATTGAATCTGAAACTTCATCCCAAAATCGTCCACCTGCGTCACTGCACCCTGGCGCTCCTCGTGCCGAAGCTTCCTTGAAAGAAGTTTGAGCCTAAACCTTAAACCCTAAATCCTAAACTCTAAAACCCTAAACTCCAAAATCCTAAGCTCTAAAACCCTAAACTCTAAAACCTTAAACTCTAAAACCCTAAACTCTGAAGCAGTGTAGAGCTTGGGATCCTACGGTCTCAGAGCTCCGGCATCTTGCCCGCAGATGGGTCGGAATCACCGAGGCAAAGCATCACTTGGCTTCTGGCTTAGGCGTTAGGGTTTAGGGTTTAGGGGCCGGAATAATTATCAATAATAGTCCGTCGGGTTCTTTCGTAGCAGAACACTAAATTAGTACAATTAAATTAGAATGTACCCTAGACTGTAGAGCCTAAGTAACTATCAATACATATCAGTACAGTGTCATGTACCCCCTAACCGTATTTTTTGACATTCCTTGTTGTAGTTTTAGTATAATGTACCCCGAAACCGTGTTGAAATTGTTAAGGGCCCTAGAGTAGATGGCTGCACGCTGTACGTGCGACTGGGATTGTAGCTTGGAAAGCACAGGCCTTGTCTGGAGCAAGTGAGGGCGAGGCGCATGAAATGCAGTCCGTGTTCTCGGCTGCCCCAGCAAGGTCCACGAGGAGACGTTCTATGCGTTGGATGCAAATAGCGGTGGGTTTGTTCCCCGGACAGGGGGAAGGCATCAGCGGGCAGTTGCCTGCGCAGAATTCCTCTGTGCGGTCTACATCAGTGACTGCCATGCCCGACGTCTACGTCTCGAGATTCTGATGACGGAGTTCCTCGTGGAAAAGTTCTTTCGCAAGGAGTCCACGGTCTTCCGCGACTGTTCAAAGCCCAGTCTTCCCGATGCTGAGTCCGATAGTGCACGACCCTTCCATGGCCGACAACGTCCGAAACCCCGGAGGAAACGCTGCAATCTGACAACTTTCGACAACCCTAAATCCCAACCCCTCAACTAAGCCCTAAGCCCTACTTGAACCCTAAACCCTGAGCCCCAAGCCGCACTGCGTCTTAAACCCCGTATACAAAGAAATAACGCCAAAAAGAGCTCTGGCGAAACACTACAAAACTGAATAAACCCCGACAAAACCCACCTGAATCCTCCTACACGATACGCACCCCCTAAATCCTAAATCCTGAGCCTTAAAACCCGAAAGCCTTAAACGGGTAAGCCCCAAACCCAAAGCCTCAGCTGACACCGCTATCTGAGGATCGAAGGCCCCTCGGAGTGTTCCTTCGGAGTCATCTTTTTGGTGCTTCAGGGTTTGGGGTTGGGCTTTTGGGGTTCTAGGGTTTCGTCATTCCCCTTAAAGCTTTGGGGTTCTAGACGTGCCGGGGCGCACCTGGCACCCAATCATCATCACAGTCTTGAGATTTTTATTTCCGAGCTTCTTGGTCTATGACTTGGCCATTGAAGATCTAAGACTCTAAGAGTTCGACTGCATTCGGACGTGGAGCTGCAGTGACGGTTTCCGGCTTCTCAACCCGAGGCTTTAGCGGGAAGCGATTGAAGGTACAGAACCCCAAAATGAACGAGTCTTGGGTGTTTTGTGCATTTCCCTTTGAACGTGATGTTTTCCAGTGATAAGTGGGGGCTAAGCAGCACATCTTTTGAATCTGTGTTTCGCTTCCCTTCGAAGAGGAGCAGGGTGGTAAAAGAGCCTGAGCCCGAAATCCCGAGTTCCAACATCCTACGCGATGCCCCATGAGCCGCTGCGTAAAAACCCTAAACCCCCTAAGACCCTGAAGCCCTAAACCCTAAACCCTAACCCCCCTCCTCCCCCTTCAAAAAGAATCGCATCTTACACCCTTCCAGCCATCGTAAGCCCCAAACCCAAAAACGGCCCGAAGCTCTGAGTTAAACCCCTGCAGAAAAGGGGATCTCTGGAGCATGAAGGAGCTGCTGATGTCAAGGCCGAAAGCATAGGGCTGCTCGTGGGGTTTAAGGCTTTTAAGGCTTTGGGGACTTAAGGGTTGAGCGCTTGGGGTTGAAGGGGCTTCGGGGTGTTGGGTTTGGTTTAGGGTTTAGGGTTTAGGGTTTAGGGTTTAGTGTTTAGGGTTTCGGGTTTAAGGGCTGTAGGGTTTAGGGTTTTAGGGTCTGGGGTTTGGGGCTCGGGGTTCAGGGGGTACTTGTTGAGAGTTTAGGGTTGAGCGTAAAGGGCTTTCCACGAGCTCGAATGGAATGTTAAGGATGCAGTTCTTGGGGTTCACGCTTTGAGGGTACGTAGCATGTGTGGGTTAGAAATACCGAATGGAGGTCACAGGTACATTACATGTAGTTATGGTTAATTGAATTATGAATTTGTAACCCTACTTACAAAATCCCCTGACCCTCCAAGTATGGATTCTCGGAAACTCGGGCTGTTTCTTCTCTTCATCCGGAGGTCCAGCCGATGCCTCAACGGAGCGAACCCACCCCAAACCCTCAACCCCAAACCCCTCAACCCTAAACCCTAAACCCTAAACCCTAAACCCTAAACCCTAACCCTAAACCCTAGACCCTAAACCCTAAACCCTAACCCCTAACCCCTAACCCCTAAACGCTGAGCCCTGAAGGTAAAGCCCCTGTGCAGGTCAGAGCTGGAAGTGAGCTGTCAGGTGGCCAACAAGGACTGGCCAGTGCCTTTCGGTCCGAATTCCGGGGACGTGGTTCGGGGTTTAGGGTTTAGGGTTTAGGGTTTAGGGTTTAGGGTTTAGGATTTATCGGGGCCAGGATTGTTGCATCGGGGTTACGATCTTTGGGGTTTAGGGTTTAGCGTGTTCGGGTAGATAGTTGTGCAGTGCTTGCGACATCTTGCGGAGGATTAGCATCGGGCTCTGAACAAGTAGAAGGAGCTTCCCCTGGTATAAGGAACTTGTATGTGCTTTAGAGGGGGTCTTGAGGCCTTTCCACTTTACACTCCTATTCCCTGAACTGTCGGGATCTTGAGGGCGACCCCCCCGATAGTCTCTATGTAGTTAGAGTCGGGTGCATGCTCCTAACGCCTTATTGAAGCACGTATTATATCAGGATGTGCCGTTGTAGCCCGAAAAGGCTACGCCTACGCTGTATTCCCTCAAGCCTCAAAGTCCGAGACCCTTACAGTGTGGAGTTGGAAGATCCCAACTTCTTGGATGAATACATACGGCCCTGAAGAATGAGAGTAAGGGCTTGGGGTCAAAAGTTGTCTGCAAACCCTACACCCAGAACATCGGGAGGATAGAGAAAGTAGATTTAGTACCCTATCCTATCTTCTTCAAGGGTATCTCCCTAAACCCTAAAACCCTAAACCCGAAACTCTAAACCCACAGCAGCCCTGGGCAGCAGCATCAAACCCCACTCAGGTACTTCGTAGTCACGACGCCCATGCCGAAGGCCCCACCACCACGCCGCTGTTAGGCTAGGGTTTGGGGTTCATGGAAAGGGGACTTAGGATTCAGGGTTTAGGGATTAGGGTTTACGGCAGAGGGTTCGGGATTCAGCGATTGGAGATTAGGGTTTAGTGGTGCCTGCCCTGCTCAGGGCTTTCGTGCATTGGGGTTCGCTTTCTAAGGTTTCAGGGACAAGGATGGCCTTCTAGGATTGTTCATCGGAGTGGAGGGAGTGAGTGCTTGAAGTGGTTTGGTTGGGATGTGAGGGTTTTGAGGATGATCCGGATGTTTACGGCGTGTGTTTGTGAGAGTGCAGTTCAGGGTGGAGTATTTTCGGGGCTATGGCTTACTAAACTGCTGACACTCAGGGTGTTCCTTGATAATCTTCAGCCAGCCGGCGCCCGTTACCTCCGCTCCCCTTAACCTTGAGGATGTCGGATTGAAAGAAAGATACACATGCAGTCGGTTTTTGAACCAGCAGTGAACTCCAGTAGACTCTGAGTACTAATAGCCGACAGTGTGTACTGCCCATCACTCTGAAGTGAAGCCACTTCATGTCGGTCATGGGGTCCTGTGCTGAAGTCGTACCACAGACCCTGGAAGGTCGCAAACCCCTCAAACTACGGGGCCTCCAAAGCCCTGAATCATAACAGCCTAAGAAGCCTTAACTCCCTGAAGCACTAAAATCGTAAACTTAAATATCTCGGTCCTGAAGCTTGAGCCCCACATTTCTGTCGTTCTTCGTCCTACTCAAGACCCGAACTCTTAAGCCCTGAATCCCTGAAGCCTTGAAATCTTAACTACTGCGCACTGAATTCTGCCACAAGCCTGAAACCTTAAAATCTAAAGCCCCGAAAGCATCCCGTAAGCATGACAAAGCATCAACCAAAACCAACTCCAAGCCCACAACCTTAAACTCAAGAACAACCCGAACCGCACAATTTTACATCCCAACGCCCCAAACCTGCAACTACATCGGGCTCTTGGCTTCAACGACTTCAACGACTTTTTCTTCAGGGTTTTGAGTTTGGGGACACGAAAATTCAGACCATGGGCGAAGTCTGCAACTCGCGCAGTTTGGGATACTATAGGGGCCGTAATAATTAGAACAGGGTTTTGTGGTATATTATACTATAACCATCATAAGGAACCCCAAAGGGGTATTGGTAATTCTTAATACCCCGATAGTGCCTTAAGTAAGGAATATCCCCTAAATCATATTAAGGATCCTACTATAGTTTAAGGACTATTCCTTAATTAAGGAACTGGGCTAATCAACCCTAAACCCTAAACCCTAAACCCTAAACCCCCAACTGCCAGGCAACCGAGGCCTTTCAGCGATCCTTTGCCAGCGGCTTTGCCAACATCGCAGGCGGGCGTTCGCGGGCGTAGGCTTTAGGGTTTTAGGGTTTCGGGATGTAGGGTTTCGGGATGTAGGGTTTCGGGATTTAGGGTTTCGGTATTTAGGGTTTCGGGATTTAGGGGTTTCGGGTTCGGGGTTTCGGGATTTAGGGTTTCGGGTTCAGGGTTCAGGGTTTAGGGTTTAGGACTGCAGGATCAGTGATGAGGGTTCTGCGAAATCGCCAGTTTCAAGCCCCACTTGTGACTCCACCCGGAAACCCTGAACCCTAGAAGCCCGAGCACTTGATGCAAAGCTTTGCCGCCATGTCAGATGTTCGAAAGCACTCAGGTTGGAGAATGCATCTTGCAAGAACGTGTGTTTGAGTAATTGCTGCTTCTCTTCGCTTTCCCGTGTGCACGGCTTGGGTGCTTTAGGGGTTAGGTCTGGGTGACACCAGACAGCCATCCTCCGCCAACGCCATGCGGCACAACAGTTCCTGCATCTCACACGTCATATTGCCCTAAAGTCCTGAACCTTCAGAAATTCACACGCAGCGCAATTGCCCAAGTGCTTGTGTGGAGCTTGCAAAATCCATCGGCAAACTTTGCGCAGTCCCAGCAGCTCCAAAACGTGTCGTGCATACAGCAACACTTCCGTCACCCTGAATCCGTATACTAAGCGCCAAGAGCGCCCGATCTCGAAATCCGGAGCGGGTGACGGCAAACACGCCTGAATTCGTAGACCCCATGTAGCCGTTAAGGCCTAAGGCCCTAGATCCCGCCTTTTGCAGAGGCTTCGCGAGTCTAATCAGCTTCATGGGGCAGGCGTTTCACATCTTCCCATCGTGCCCTGGACACTCTTTAGGGTTTGCTGGTTGTGGGTTTGGGGTTTAGAGTTTGGGGCCTGGGTTGGCAAGTTGGGGTTTGGAGTTTAGGGTTTTAAGGCTTCTTCGGGTTTGCTACTTCTATACTACGTATTTTGAGGACGATGGTGGGGACGGGGAGATTCGATGATGATGTTGATGGTGATGGTGTTGTCCTCCCTTCAGCCTCGCAAGGCGTTTCTCGGAACGCAGGCTTTTCAGGTTTAGAGTGTAGGCCACACGGCTGGTCTCTGCTGATAGCCTACGACCAGGATTGTGGATGCTGTGATCTAGTACA